AGCTGCCAATTGTTGAAAGCTTTCGCTACGTTCGTTCGGGCGCCTCATCAGCTGAAGCGCGATTAAAATTACGATTTAATTTTATTAAATCATCAAAGAGGCATTTATGCAATGCCATTCGACGTATTCGACGTGCCAGCATGAGGCATAGCTGCATAACTAACCCACCCAAGTGTGGCACTGCCAAAAACAAATGCGAAAGGGTGGTGCTCGCAATTAGTTTCAATTTTCATGTAAACCAAGTCAAATAGATATAAATATATGCATTTGTATAGATATGTATATTAGATCAACTTGGTCAACTGCCAATTAGCAACCTTGTGACATGGCGACGGTCAAAGCAAGCCAGTCTGAGTGGTGCGTGTGCTCTAAGGTCGCACCACTCACATGCGTGTATGCGTGGTGGAAAACTGGATCTGATTCTGCCTAGAAATAGGCATTAGCAGTTCGCATTGACAGTGAGTAAATGAACTAGTTCAGTGAAAGAGAGACAGAATTTTCTCATTAACTACAATCTATCTATGCTATACGAATATATAATATATGTACTTCATTAGATGATATTATATGTTCTACTATGTATAAAAGATTAGTGCATAGACATTATATTTTTCGATAAATAAATAAGCTAGTTTCAGCTGACCCACTCTGGTATATCTACATTTGTCCCTCTGCTACTTAATCCCATCTCCATATTTCTTCATAAATCCCATCGAACATATAAATTGCTTCTCATTTTTATTGCATTTTCTCTCATTTCGCGACTTTTACAGCATGTTTAAGCTCAAGTTAAATAAGAAGTGGTTAGATTTTTAATATATATGAAATATATATATATATTTTTTGTTTTTATCGAATATATTATTTCATTTTTATCGCGGTCGAAACAGCCTTAAGATTAAGTAGACAAGAAACGTACATGGGAAAGGCGTCGAATGTGAGTGTTGATGAGAGCGATTGGAGCTGAAGTGGCTAATCAGGGCCAATCGAGTGAATTCGTATGTACACAAGTGCAACGATATATATCGCTAACATTTTAACTAAATACTACAACTATCGACTACGATAGGCTTACAACTTCTCCGAGCTGAAGGAGTTACGCGGGTCAAGAGGTCGGCAACATGTGTGATTCAGTATTCCGTTTGAGTGGAGCTTGACTTAGTGGTAGGCCAGGGGCGAGTAGGCGGGAGCCAGAGCCGGGCGGTAAGCCGGAGCCAGAGCTGGACCGTAGGCGGGGCCCAAGGGAGCCAGTGCGGGCAGAGCTGGCAGCTTGGCCACCAACGGAGCGTGGAGCAGTGGAGCTGGCGCCAAGACCTTAGCAACTGGAGCCACAGCCTTGACGGCGACACCCTCGCGATGGACCACCGCATTGAAGCCATGGACAGGATCAGCGGTGTACTCCACAATACGGCGCGTGCCGTCAGCCTCGATCAGCGAGTAGGAGCCCTGGACAACATCGCCGCTGCGCGTCTCCTGCTGGTTCTTCACGTCGCCAGTGGAAGCATCCTGTAAGAGAGAATCGAGATGTGGATTTGCTCAAGTTGCCTTAGCTTGGCTTTCGATGATCGCCCACTTACGTGCACATCGTAGCTGAAGCTGTACTGGGGATTGGGATCGTATGGCTCGGGTCCAGCCACCTTGGCAACGGCCACCTTGGCCAGTCCTGGATAGATGGGCGCCGCCAGCTTGGGGTAGACGGGCGCTGCCAGGCTAGGATAGCCGGGCAGAGCGAGTCCAGGACCAGGCACCACCACAGCATTGGACACGGCCACCAAAGCGCTGACAACAACGAGCAACAATGTTTGTGCCATTTTATTTGGAAGATTTAGTGGAGTTTTCTGCTAGAGATTTGGCTGCTGCTTGGCTGACAAATGAACTCACTCTGTGGTTCTGATGCTGAGCGACAATTGCTTTTTATAGCCAAGCCGACAAATCGAGCGAACTGAAAATGCCCAAGCCCCAAAATCCGCAACCAAATCTCTAACGACGACGACGACGACGACGACGCTGCCTGCAAAAATATTTATGCAAAAGCAACAACAACAACAACAACACCATCAACAAAAGCAACTAAAAAGCGCGCATGCGTGTGGAGTATATTGAAAATGCTTGCTAAGATCACAAAATGCAGCAGCAGCACCACCAACAACAACCACAACAAGAAGAAACAAACGTGAGTGCGCAGCGAGAGTGTGAACGACTTTCAAGTGCCCTCTGCAGATAGGAGATAACGT